AAAAAAAAAAAAAAGAAAATTAAATTAAAAAAAAAGGGTTCACATAATAATAGTAATGATACTTGTTGATTATGAATTATTACGCAACGACAATGTACATTATGACCCGTTTAGTACGATTGTTTTGATCCGTCTCGTGTCTCGACCAACTATATTGTCTAAATCCGACGAATACCGAATTGTATGATTAGTAAAAGTTAGTTAGTTAGTTACCTGAGTCCTTCTCTGCAATTTGACATCTCCCTCAGCAGCAATCCCATCTAACTTTATCAGCTGTGTCATCAACAATTCAATCAGGTTCAATAAAACTGTCTCCACAACTTTCTTGCCTCCATTTATGTCCAATTCAATTGATCCCACCTACCATTTTTTTATTTTCACATCAATAAAACAACCAATCAAGATAAGAAAAACATAACTACTAACAAACTATTCAATGAAAAAAATCAAATCACCTGCTTGGCAAGTTTGTCGACTTCGAACCTAATAGCGGCAATCTCTTTAGCCGCCTTCTCCATTTTCGCGTTCTTGCGCGACTCGATGCACCTTCTCTCTCGACTCAGATCATCCTCGATCAAGACCATCTTCGACCCATCCTTTACCCCACAAATGTCAAGAAAAGCTTTTGAACCTCTCTCTTTATCCTTGAAAATCAGCTTCTGATCCCCTGTGGGCAGCCCTGTTATTCCCACCAGCATTTTCTTCAGCTCCCCTTCACAACAGAAGAAAAAAATAACATCAAGTTAAAAATTGATCAATGTATAACACAAAATTAAAGGAGGGTCAAAAACACATTAAAAAAAAAATAAAAAAAAATAAAAAATTATAAAGAGCCATTTTCATTATGTCCAAAAAGTATATTTTTTTTTTTGACAAAGGGAGCAAAAAAAACATTAAAAAAACAAGAACATTTACCAAAGCTGGCTTGAGAACTGATGATGACTTCATGGTAAAATGAACCATATTTCACTTTGACTTTGATGTTTGGGACAGGTTTGGAGTTAGGATTGGAGTCCGAACTTCTTTGCTGAACCAACATCCCGCCCGGCCGAACCTCCCACCCTGCAGCCGGTGCCGATGACATCTCTGCACCACTACTTCTCGCCGGCGAATAAACTCCGGTGGCCTTCGAATTCATTCTAGACACGTAATCTTTATTCATTCTCGATGTACAGCCTTTTCTGGAAACGTATATATGCTGTCGAGGAATTCTTTTCTATAACGAGTAACCGAGACGAAAGAAAGGCGATGTAGATTTATAAGTAAGAAAGAAGA